GAAGACCAAGGCCACCTCCTCATAGGTGGAGCAGAGATCCACCTATGAGTACATCACATCGGCTCTGTCTTCAGGAATCTTGGGCTGTGAGGGAGATGAAGGAATGTGATTTATTTCTTTCTGCTAAAGCAGTGTGCTTCAGAGAGAATGAATTGAAAATTTAATAAATATGCTTTTTGCCATAGTAATGGAGAGAATATGAATAATTCATGGCAATGCAAGTGGTCACGTCAGAGCTGGCAGAAGGAGCAAGTGCACAACTCAGAGAAGGAAGCGCCCTGCCCCAGGAAGCAGGTGCGCTAAGACCATCCCCTGAGAACTGCCCTCCAGATGCCACGTGTCAGTGGAACCTGGGCCTGTGCCTGGGATCTGGTGCGTAGTGTGGAGAGCAGAGCACAGCTCCATTCCTCCTCACTGTGTGACCTAGGATGTGACCTCTTCCTCTGAGCTTCATTCTAACTAGGTGTTAAAATCAAATAACAGCAGTAACGTTACCCGTAAACTTTCCGGTAAGAGCCAGTGATGATCAGAATTGTTACCACTGTTGTTGCCCGATCCCTCAAATATCATAAAAATACCTGTGTGACCCCTCGTCTCAGACCTCAGATGACCACCTCGCAGAGAGCGCACCTGCTTTGTTTCTGTCACAAACGTGGTATTAGAACTGGAAACTATGTGTACCTTGTTATAGAATTTCTATCTTAGTTATGTTACATTGGATGAAGTTAGAATTAGTAAGTGACAGTTAGAATTTTAGATGGTGGGATGTCTAAGCAAACTGTCGATGGTGTGTCTTCATTTTTCACTGCTTATTATAGATAATATGAGAGGAGAGAGAAAAATTAAAGAGAAAACTATTGACCAATAGTCAGTTGTTTGATAAACAAAGGAGATGTTCACATCTTCTGGAAACTCCATTAAATTAAATAAATTAAAGAACTTCAAGACACTTTTCCACATTCTAGATGCATGTCTAATACAGATTTAGATTTAAATGCACAGAGAGAACACAGAAAATGGAAATTCAGCAACAGATCAGTTTGCCAAATATTCAGATTTAAACTAGTTTGTGATTTTACCTAAATATTCAAAGAATAAACCCCAGATTCAAATAACAAATGATAAAATTTCAGTGTTTAATGACTGGTTGAGAGAAGCTAGAACTAACATTATTTTGATGAATCATACATCAATAATAAAACTTTGTCCAGTGGTCCAAATTTTCTAGCGGCTTCTTGAGTAAATAGTTTCTACCTCCCCTATCTGTGACTACTGGAAGGATCTATCATCCTCTAAAACCTGGGAACCATTAAGAACAGAGACAGAGGTTTGAATACTATGAAGTTTTGAGAGACCCAAATTACTGCCTGTACTGATTGGTGAGGATGATCTTTATAAGCCTCGTCTTTGAAGAGCGTATGGTGGCTTTTGTTATAATGAACAGGTAGCAACAAAGACAGTCAAGGAAAATGAAGGAGGAGGGGAACATGGTCCAAACAGAAGAACAACATAAAGCTCCAGAAACTGACATCAATGAAAAGGAAGCATATGTGTTACCTGAAAGAAAATTTAAAGTAAATGTTAGAAACATATTCAATGAGCTAGTGGCATCATGCAAGAACAATGCGAGAATTTTAATAGAGATAGAACATTTAAAAGATGACTAAACAAAAATATTGATACTGAAGAATACAATAAGTCAGATAAAAGTTTTAACAGAGGATTTTGGACCAGACTAGATCAAGTAATAGAAGAAACAGTAAACTCAAAGAAAGATCATTTGAAATAGTAGAGACAGAGAAGAAAAATTTAAATGAAAGAAATGAAGAGTTAAAGACTTACGAGTCAGGAAGTACAGTGAAAATGAAATTATGCATTGAGGAGTTATGCAAAGATAAGACAAAAGCGGTAGTGAAGGAAGTGGGTGAGAGAAAGACGGAGAGAGACAGAGAGAGAGAGACAGGGTGAGAGAGGCAGAAAGGATTTTTAAAGAAGTAATAGCATGGAAACTTTCTAAATCTGGAGAAGCAAATATTCATCTACATCTATGAAGCTCTATACATTTTAAATAAGGTAAACCAAATGAGAAAAATCAGAGATAGTTTGAAACCACATCTCTAAAGGAAAGGTTTTTGAAA